CCCAAGTCACTGTTGGCTGTCTATTAAAAAGACTACAGATATTTTTCTTTTTCATAAGAATGAAATTATTCTAAATTATTGGTGCTCAATTCAAATTTGCCAAATTATTGTGACTTATCTATCTCAACTCCTATTATAAACTTAAGTAACAAAACTAAAGCAACTATTAAAAATACAATGGTTTTATTACTTTTACATTGCTTTAGTATTGATTCATAGACAATTTTTGATTTTTTCTTCAAATAAATTATTTCTTAAGAACAGCTACCCTGGCCAGGAGTGGTGGTGCACACCTGCACTCCCAGCAGAGGCCGAGGCAGGAGGATCCTTGCGGAGTTCAAGGCCAGCCTGGGCTACAAAGTGAGCTCCAGGACAACCTGAACTGCATAGTGAGACCCTGTCTCAAAAAGATAAAAAATAAACAAACAAAAACCCAACAACAAAACAGCTACCCTACATATTTTTTACAGTAGTATATTAGATGCCACCCCCCAACCCAAGAAACGTATTTGGGTGAATTTTGTAACCCTGAGATACCTAATCTAAGAGAATAGGTCCTAGTCAGACACCAAGCCTTTCAAGAGACCAAGGTTTAGAGAGTAAAATTGTTTCATCTGTGTTCTATGGCACCAAATAAGGGGCCTCAAAATGACAAAGCATGTAGGAAGAATTATTAAAAACAGTACTATCCAGCTGGGTGTGGTGGCACACGCCTATAATCCTGAGGCAGGAGGAGTGCTGTGAGTTTGAGGCCAGCATGGGCTACATAAGTGAGTTCAAGGTCAGCCTAAACTGCACAGTGACACCCTGTCTCAAAAGAAAAAACAAAAAAAAAAAAAAACAAAAACCACCAAGCAAACAAACAAAACAAGAACAGTACCATCATTTATTTATTTGTCCAGTAGCTCTGCTATTTGCCCATGACCTTTTGAATTCTCTTTGTCCTTGCTACCTTATCACCCCAAATCAAGCAAACTAGCCTAGTGCTTTAATATCAAATCACAGACAGAGGTAAGGGTAAGTTGCTATAGTAGTAAAATAAATACTAATAGACGTAAAACTTTATGTTCTAATTGAAATTACAGCAAGCAACTGCTTTGGAACAGTCTGTGGTACAGTATTTTTTCAGGAGCTCTTCTCTAAATACATGTAATAATTAAGAACTCTCCCGACAATCATTCTGTCTAAGCTAGAACATGAAATATGCCTGCTAATGTGACGTAGCATGTTATTTTAAGTGGTCTCTCTGGTCGTCTCTCCCCTACATCCAATAAACCTGCTCATAAAATACTGCAATGTGATGATTTGTTATTAATCTTAGTGCGAACATATTAAGAACAGGGCTGTACAACTGAATTATAAATTCTATTCAAATAAACATTTACCTAATTAATAATACTTTAACAACAGTTGGTTTAAAAATAAGTATTTAGAAGAAGTATCCAAGATTAAGTATCTTTTCTTCTTATTTTTTGGAATGTCTTATTTTCATGGCTCAAAAATTTTAAAAAGTACAACAAAAATACTTAATGCTTCAACTGAGAGAAATAACAAAACTAGTATCAACATCTGACATTCCCCTCTGACTTAGAACTCAGCTACAGAAAAGCTATACTTTTCTAAAATCAGAATTACATAATGTAATAAATTTTCAATCGAATTTTTTAATTTATTGCCAAGCCAAAGTCTCAAAAAGCACTTTACAGACATTCCTCAGTGGTTTTTTTTGTTTTACTTTGTTTTGGTTTTTGAGGCAGAATTTCACTATGTAATGCAGGTTGGCCTTGAATTCACTTATGTAGCTCAGGCTGGCCACGAACTCACAGTGATCCTTCTGCCTCCGATTCCCAAATGCTGGGATCACAGGTGTGTGCCACCACACCCACCCCTCAGACATTCCTTGTTTAATGACCTACCTGGTTAACTGTTTGGATTTAACAACCGAGGCGCACTGTTCAAGCTTATGACCTCTTTTTTTTGGTACAGTTCTGTACATCTTGTTTATAGATCCACCTTGTTTATACAGTACTGTAATTTTTCCTGATTGTACTGTACAATAGAGTACTGTAGTTTTATGTTCTGTTATACAGTACTGTGTGTGTAACAGTTGTATAAATAAATATAAAGTCATCAAGTTGGAGTTTCCTTTGGCCATTTCTTTGTTCTGAATATTGTAACATATATGCTATATACAATTCTTCATTTTGCCACCAATTCAGTTAACGACCTGGTTGCTGAATCAGTTGTTAAAGGAGATAAATGTTATTTTAAGAATTAGAGTTATACAGGGAAGCATTTTAATCTTTTAGAGAGAAAGAGGATATATATATACATTTTAAAGCTCATTTTGGCTAACAAATGAACATTATTTTAAGTAAAATGCAGTAGGTACACCAATATTATAACATACCATATAGATGGTTTGGTACTGTAAACCGCTTAATGTTTACAGAAAGTGTTTCTGAAGCCAGGTAAATAATTAAATGTTCCTGGGAGACTTCATTTATTTATGTTAATAAAAAACTACTTAAAGTAAAATTGGTGACATTGCATAACTTGTATAGATGCTCCTGATCGGATTCCCAGTAAACCTATTATGAACGGAAAATACAGTAAGTTGAAAATGCAACTAATAAACCTAATCTACAGAGGAGCATCACAGCTCAGTAACACAGACTACTTTCCTTTGTAATTCAGTGGCTGGCTAGAAGCTGGGGCGCCTCACTGCTACTAGCCAAGCATTGCAAGAAAAATCGTACTGTGTAACACTAGCCCAGGAAAAGATCAAACTTCAAACTTTGAAGTGCATTTTTTACTGAATACATATCGTTTTCACACCATTGTGAAGTCTAGAAATTGTTAAGTCCAATCAATATAAATTAAGGACTATCTGGACTTTCATAGCTACAAAAATTGATTTTATGTACAATGATGTGATTTTAACCTTTTTACTATAAATCTTTTATATTTGACAAAAATAAACATTGTTATTTACAATGGATCATTAATAGATCACATAACTATTTGAAATTACTGCTAACAGGGAAAAAAGATCCTTTCCAATCAAAGGATTTTTAATATAGAATTAATATTTTGAAATTCCAAAGGACCTCAAACATATTATCTCCCTGCATAATATCCATACACAAAACATATACTATACAAATACCCTAAATTTTAAAGTAGCTTCTATCTCACTGTATCAGTTATATGTGCAGCTATATACATTTAAAAATTAATTTCATATATTTCCAATCACAACAGTAAGTAAAAACCACACTTACAGTATTCTCCACAAGTAAATCTTAACCCCCAAGCCAACAGGCTCATAGTATAAAGATCTGGTTCAAAATGATAACTGGTCCTTGCTGCTCATTGTAAGGATAACATGAGGAGACAGTAGCTGATGTTATCAGCTTTACCAAGACCCCTGTAAGTATCAAGTGTGAGCTTCCAAAGGCCAGGTCAATACACAATTAGGATATTCTTAAGGAAAGGGAGATTTTCCATTTTTTAAAATCATGACACACATACATAAAAACTATTAAATGACGAAGATCTAAAACTAATTCCTCCAATTTACAGTCAACAAAAACGGTAATCTCTGAATGCAAAAGTCACGAAGTTTAACTTTCTGAATTTTACCATTTTTTAAAAGAACCATCATTCTATTTAATCTTTCAAACTGAAACCTTTTCTTTTAATAGAAAAAAATCTATTAAAGAGTTCCTCTCTGAAGAACCACTCTCTACCCTTTCTTCTCTCAAGGATTAATTATATGCTTATTCTAACAAATTTAAATCGGACTGGTAAGACTTCAAGTTCCCATCTATAGAGTGAGAAGCAAACAAAAAAGAAATCTGTTTCCAGAGTACAAAACATTAAAAGACAAAAATAATTTCACACACACCATTTCTGCATTATTTATGGGGGAAAAAACAAATGAATGAAGAGTTTTCAACAGCCTGACTACTGCAACCCAAGTTTTTGGAGGGACCAAGAAGTCAGCAACAACCTTTAACACTAAAGGTATGTGCGACAGGGTGTGTGCCTGTTTCCCATTTTTCAAAGTGTCTTTATAGTTAAAATACCACAAAATAAAAACCCATGAAAAGAGAATTGTACTAACACATCACCAGCTGATTTAAGAAATGGGTATTTTCAATTCAAGATGTCATTACTTAAAAGTCTGACAAATATCTAAGCCTAAATTCCAGGAAATACAGGAGAAATATATATGCCTGAATTCTCAAAACTCGCAAAGCACAAAGTAAGCAGATAATTCACTATACTATAACCTCATTCCTGACGATCCATCCTAAAGTCCAATGTTATCTCAAATAACAACTCTGGAGATGTAACATCTTTTCTTGGTGTTATGAAATTAACCATATTTATTGAGCATATATGTGCCCAGCTCTACAGGGAATATATCAGAATAGAACAATAGTCCTTACTAAAGAAGTTTATACTCTAATAGGAAAAAAATATTCAAACAAAAAATAGTAACGAACAATGAAGCCACACAAACAACACACTCTGTGCTCAGAAAAGGAGAAGGTGATGTGAGTACAGTCAGGGCTCATGGAAGAAAAATAAGAAGCTAGATTCAGTCTTAACAGATGATGCAGATAAACAGAGGAGAGGATTACATAAAACCGCTAGAAAGAATACATGGAAATAAAAAATTGAGTCCGGAGATGGGGGATAGGAAGGAGTATAAAAAAAGTAATACATAGGAATAAGGTTTAAGAGGATATATAGTCCTTTAAGAGGATATTTAGTCCCTTATTCCTAATACATAGGAATAAGGTTTAAGAGGATATATCTTAAAAAGTCTGGCAACAGATAAAGTTTTATGAAGTTTGCAAAGCAGAATTTTAAGAAGAGTTTGGCAGCAACAGCATGCAGAGCAGGGTAAGCTACCTCCATGTCTCCGCTGCTTTTTGGCTTGCTCTCTTGACATGAAAAATAAAACCACCAACATATACTATCAGTACCTCACTTCCAGATTCCAGTGGTCTCTTCCTCCTTGGTCCAATAGCTGCAAGGGCTGTGAGATTAGCATCTCTGTACTGTATCTGGGCGAGCTCCAACTGCTGCAACTGGAAGACGGAAGAAAACCCAGTGTTTACACACAGTCGGTCTTGGGGAGAAAGAAACCAACCACTACTTCGATTTCTGTACCCTTCCCCACCCAAAGGTACAGCACAAAATAAGTATCAGACTTCCTTCCAGGCAGGCAAAGGGTTCCTGATTTCTTGGCTCCATAACTATTTAGTCCTTAATCTTTAGAAAAAAGGCAGAACTTGGCTAAGGGGAACTACAGGATAAAAGGAAAAAGAAGGCATCTGCAGTATAACTTCTGCCCAGGTTAAGCACAAGTACGAAATTTTATAGAATAAGGTGCACAGCAAGTTAGAGACTAGGTTGCTCAAACTATAGTCAACCCTTTTAGATAAAAAAAAAAAAAAACTACTTTAAAATAAGTTTTTATGCATTGTAAGACACGGTTCTACCCCTTTATATGATTAATTTCTTTAACTCTCACACTCACACAGAAAGGTATGCACTAATTTTGTAGTACACAAAAACTAATGTATATATTATCTCCTATTTTTAACAGAGATGATGAGGTTCTTGAGAAGTTAGGACAACTTCATATAAGTCACAAAAGCAGTGACAAAAACAGCACTTAGAGCCAAGTGTTCTCATGACAAACCCTTTTGGACATTATACTCTCCCGCTTGCAAATAAAAATTGTGGATTTAACTATATATTTCTTCATGGCAAAAATCGAGTGATATAAGTACTGTTTTGTTGTATAGTTTCTGTCATATTTACTTCAGAATGCCCAATTCTACGAAGTATTACTTTTCAGTGTGTGGGCAACAGTATACTGGGTGTGACTGAAAGAGGACTTCTCTGCTTCCTGGTTGCTGCTGAGTAAGCAGCTTTCTTCCACCCAGCCCTTCCACAGTGATGTCTCTGCGTCCCTACCAGTCTGAAAGCAACAGCCTTTCCTCCTTTAAGTTGTTTATTTCAGTGATTCTGTCACAGTGATGGAAGGCTGAATACAGGATGGTTGATAGTTACTTATTTAAATAGGATCAAACCAGTCCAGTGAGAGTAACCTGTGCAGACATCCTAGACACTGGGAATATTACTTTAATAGCACTAAAGAAATATAAGCACTGCTGTACAAGACAGTAGTATTAAAACAGGAAATTGTGAAGTGGTCAGTCTCAAGAAGTTGACATGTAAATAAACTCCACTTTCAGACTACTTCAGACTTCAAATTATCTAAGTATTAGGACAGACACTGACTACCACAGGTAACTGAATATTTAGTAAAATAAACGATTGCTATGGTTGAATGTTTGTGCCCCCTAGAATTCTAGATACTAAGAAGTGAGGCCTTTGTGAGAGGTCCAGAGAAAGAACACTCAAAAATGGGATTGGTGCCCTTGCCAAAGAGACAGGAGCGAGTCCCCGCTCACTTGCCACCCTGTGAGAAGGCATTGAAAAGGCACCACCTGTCAGGCATGACTAGGTCTTCATCAGACACCAAATTGGCTAGTACCTTGATCTTGGACTTCTAGCTTCAAAAATTGGCAGAAATAAAATTCTGTTGATTATAAGCTATTCACTTTAAGGTATTTTGTTATAGCAGCTTGAACACAATGAGATAGCAAATAACTGAAGAAAGTGAACTAAAAATCATTTTCTACTTGCTTTACCAATTACAGGTCAGAAATCCTTTTTTTTTTTTTTTTTTGGTACCAGGAATCGAACTCATGTCCTCAGGCTTGCCAGGTAAGCACTTCAGCTGCTGAGCTATACCCCTGGCCCTAGAAATCCTTCTTTTAATTGTTGATATTTTTAAAAATAAAATGTTGGAGGAGTGTTTTCAGAAGTCATAAAATCTTTTGTCGCTGCTGGCCTTTTAAATAAGGATAGTTTAGTTTAATGCTGCAACAATCTAGAACTTCTAGGTGACAAAAAGCAAATTTTAGTTAACCTACCCTACAGTACAAAATCAAACAACAAACTATATTTAAAGTCCTTTCCTGTAGTGAAATAGCATCTACAAGAAAGCCATATCAAATAAAAGGTTTTTAGCTAGATGCTAAGTCTGTACTAATGCCCCGAACTCCCTCTCTTTCCAGTTCTCTGGTTTCTCTGTTTTGTGCTGGTTAGGATACGCTGTTTCTGAGAAAGTTTGTTACAAGTACAGAGCCAACCAAAACTATGATCAGCTTCCATTTTTATTAGACTTTTGCAACATTTTTTAAAATATATATGAAGGGCTTGGGATATAGCTCAGTGGCATAAGCACCCGCCTGGCAAGCACAAAGTTGAGTTCGATCCCCGGTTCCGCAAAAAAATATATAATAAAATATATATGAAACTTCAGTTTACAAAGTAGAAGAAAAGTTTTATTACATAGAAAAGGAACTTAAGGACAGGGCAGTTTAAAAACCATTCATTCATTCATTCATTCATTCATGAGACAGGATCTTGCTATACAGGGCAGGCTGGCCTTAAACTTACTTATGTAGCCTAGGCTGCCTGCAAACTCATGGTGATCCTCCTGCTCCAGCCTCCCAAGTGCTGGGATTACAGGCATGAGCGTAACTATGGTTGAATTTCAGTTCAGTCAGTGAAGACAGGCAGCCAGGGATAGGGGCTTTACAGTGGAAACAGACTGCATGATTATCTCTGCAGAAAATGCCAAGTTACTTAAGATAGAAACAAAAAAGTATCCTAGGACTAAAAAGTGAAATTGCAAGATGTTAGATCAATACACACACAAATCATCTTTCTAAATACCATTAAGGTATAACTAACTGGAAGCTTAAATTTTAAATAATGTCATTTATAATAGCTTTCCCACAAGTGAAATACTGAGGGGTAAATTTAACAGCTACAGATGTGTGTATGCTGCAAGTCACAAATGCTAAGGAAAAAAATGAGACAACATGAACAAATGGAAATATATACTGTGTTCAAGAATTGTAAGAATCAACATAATAAAGGTTTTGACTTTTTCCAAATTGAGCTAAAGATTTAAAATGATTCCAACACATTATCTTTTAGTAGGTATAGACACACTGATTCTGAAATGTACATGGGGGGCCTAGGAGTATATAACTCAGTGGTAAGGCACTTGCATAGCATGCATGAGGCCCTAGGTTTGACTCCTAATAAATCAGTAAATAGTTTACATGGGAGAGCAAAGGAACTAGAAGAGTTAATTTGAGGCAGTAGAGGGGTGGCTCAAAATCAGAAGAGTCCCATCACATGATTTTAAGATTTCCTACAAAGCTGCAGTCATCAAGACAATGTGACATTTGCAAAGGGAGAGACACATTCATGGAACAAAAGAGAAAATCCAGAAATAAGATCCGTGCAAATATGGCCAGCTGAGTTTTAATCAGGTTAGAAAATACTTCAGTTGAGAAATGACAAAATTCTCTTTTTTACCAAACTCTAGAAAGTTCCTCTGAGCCATTTTCTCAACTAGGCCTAATGTAAGCTTAAAAGAACTGAACAAAACACAATCTATTAATAATTCAAGGATGTATCTTTAAGATGACCTAATTCTCCTTCAAGGGCCTACCTAAGAACACTCAAGGCTGGCCAAAGAACGGCCTATTTGTTCCAGCCAAGATGTGAAGATAGAAGCTCTGCCTCCAGCCTATGCAAGGGCAGCAGCCTAATCAGTAAGCACCGGTTAGAAGGCCCAGATGGGTTTCAAGTGGGTCAATTCCCTTCCAATTTTCAACATTTTTCACTTCCATGACTCTAGTGAGCTCCTGCTCACCTCCTCCCAAATCACTTTAAAAATGCATTTAAAAAAAACTCCCTTTACAAATGCCCAGCAAGCTCTGTGCAGAGTAGTTGAGACGAATTCCAATCATGTTGAACTCTCTTCCCTACTGCAAAGGTCTATTATGATTAAATTCCATCCTATCACTTTAGTGTCCAGCACAATCTTTTTGGAAAATGCTGTAGGAGCAACCATATGTCCAGTGCAAAAAATATCAATCTGCACCTGAGCCTCCTATCTTGCATAATAAAGTGGCTCAAAATATAAAAGCATAAACTTCTAGGAAAAAAGCTCGAGACAAATTAGTCATGACTCAAGGTCTTAGGCATGGTACACAAAGCATATCCATGTAAGAAAAAAACTGAAAAACTGGTCTTAATCAAAATTAAAGATTTTTTTATTTGTGGAAGACACACTAAGAAAATAAAAGCACAAGTTATTTTATTTCTCTGCCTTAGGTTTGTCTTCTTTTCCTCCTTGCCTTACTGCTCTGGCAAGGATTTATGCTGCAATGTTGAATGACAATGGTAAAAGTAGACATCCGTACTTTCCCCCTAATCTCTGGAAGAAAGCATTCAGTCTTTTACTATTCAGAATGCTGTTAGGCCAGGTGTGGTGCACGCCTGTCATCCCAGCCACATGGAAGGCTGAGGCAGGAGGACAGCACATTGAAAGTCAGCCTGGGCAACTTTCTGTCTCAGAATTAAAAATAAAAAGGATGAGAGGCAGCTCAGTGGTAGAGTGCTTGCCTAGTATTCTCAACGCCCTGGGTTCAATTCCCAACACTTGAGTGGGGGCGGGGGGGGGGTAATATTATAGTGGAGTTTTTAAAGCTGTCTTTATCTGACTGAGGAAGTCCCTTCTATTCCTATATTAAGAGCTTTTTAAAATTATTAATAGATCGTGAATTTTAATAAAGCATCTCTATTTTGACAGATGCAATCGCATGGTTTTTCTTCTTAAACTACTCATACAGTAGTTTATATTGATTAATTTTTCAAATATTAAACCAATTTTGGATTTCTGGAGTAAATTCTACATGGGTTATGGGGCATTATCCTTACTAAAGATTTCTAGATTTGATTTGCTGTTATTTTGTTAAAGCCATCTTAATGAGATATTTTGGTCTGTAGTTTTCTTGTTTTGTACTACCTTTCTGGCTTTGGTTATAAAGGTTATACTAACCCCATAAAACGAACTAGAAGTATTTCTATTTCTCCTCTTTCCTGGAAGAGATTGTGTAAAGATGGTGTTAATTCTTCTATAAATATT